CTCTCTCTCTCTCTCTCCCCCTCCTCTCTCTCTTCTCTCTCTCTCTCTCTCTCTTTCAATGCCCGCAGATAAAATTGCATGTTTTTAACACTCTCTGTCTCTCTCTCTCTTTGTCTCTCTCTCCCTCTCTCTCTCTCTCTCTCTCTCTCTCTCTCTCTCTCTCTCTCTCTCTCCTTCTTTCTATTGAGCTACAGCTGCCCCTCTCTCACAACATTACCAACTCTCACCATAATATACTTAGACCTATACGCTCCTCTGACCGTCTAGACTTAGACGCTATCACAACCTCCCAACCTGAATATCGGACAACTCACAAAGTTAATCTGGATCATTTTCTGCCAGACACCTTCGTTCATGATACCAGCGTTGTTTACCATGACGTCCACACGACCAAAGGCGGACACAGCCTCTTGGAAGGCAGCTGGGGACGAACAGAATGTGAAAAAAGATAGACATAAACATGCAAGTTCACTTACTTATTTTTACTTTTTCATCCTCTGTTGCCGTTAAGCGTTGAGGGGAGATGCAGTTTTCTATGGCGGGCCAGCTCCGCAGCTCTTTCAGTTGTAATGTTATGTTTTCTCAGGGTTTCCTTGACACCCTCGATCCACCTTTTGCGTGGCCTTCCTCTTCCTTTATAGCCTGAGTGCTTGGTGTTGTAGGCTCTCGAGGCTGGCTGGTCAGGTGACATGCGTAACAGGTGGCCAAACCATTTTATCCTCTGTCTTTCTATTTAATTCAGGCAGGACTCAGTACCGACAGCTGCTCTACTTCTTCATTTCTTTGCCTGTCTCGTCTTGTGATGTTAAGGGTTTTGCGGAGATATTTCATTTCGCATGCGGTGATTTTGCTTTCATGGGTTTTGCTTAAAGTCCAGGTCTGGCACTGATAACATAATGTTGGTATGAATATTGAGGTAATAAGCTGTCTATTTGTGTCCATGGAGATGTTTGGATGAGATAGGAGGGGTGCGAGCTGGTAGGTGACAGTGTTGGTTTTTTGAGTTCGCATTTCTATTTCTCTGTCTGTAGACCCGTTTTCAGAAAAAAGTGCTGCCAATATATTTAAACTCCTTCACCTGTTTCAGTTGTTTACTCTTGACATGGATGTTCAGGGGACTATAGTTTCGGCTCACTTTCATAACTTCTGTTTTTGATGTGCTTATTTTCATGTTGAATTTCTCACAGCTGTTGTTGAGTTCGGTAGTGTGATTTTGGAGGCTTTGTTGATCTTGATAAATAAGACATTGGTCGTCTGCGAACAGAAATTCATTTAGGCTTTCTGGGCTTTGGTTTGCGTCTTGCGTTATTGTGTCTATATTACTAGCTGGGCCCCCTTTCAATGAAAGGAATGATCGGTGCATTAACATCAACTGAATATCATTGGTCTACTATATTTACACTCTACTGGAATGGAGCAAAAAATCTTGAGAGAAAAGTGACACATGTGTTTCCAAGTTGCCAAATATATAAAAGATGCATAAATTGATTCTCTATTCCGCTTTCGTGGTTGTACAGAAGCATGTTGATTGTTCCCTGTAGCAAGAAAAAGAATTTGACATAGGAGTCCAGAAAAAGCGATGATGGGCATCAAACGAAAGGATCACAGCCGAATTTAGCACCAAATAAAAAAAAAGAAAACATGAGGCTAGATTTACACGGGTTGCACACTTAAAATAGTGCTCAGTATTGCGCAACAATGCGCGATAGTATCGAACCGAAGTACGACTTGAAATAAACAAACCTGGCGGATTTTCTAAAATCACAGAGACAGAAGCGTCGGCCTACAAAAGCGATCGGCGAAATAAAGAAATTTAGCTTTTGCAGCAAAACTGTATCAAAACTGAAAAAAAGGAAGGGCGTCATGATCTGGTGAATATTTAAAAGAATCTTTTGGCGAAAACCGCACGTCGATCGATGCAGCCATAAAAAAGTCTTTTGAATAGTAAAATTCGGCCACCACAAATAGATAATAGATAAACGGTAGGGGATCCCTTTCGTACTCCAGATCTTACTTTGAACCAGTCTGTATTGCCTTCCTTCGTTCTTACTGAGCTTCTGCTGTTGGTATATAGAGCTCTGACATTATCTAACATTTGTCCTCTGGCGCCCTACTTTTCGAGTGTCTTCCAGATTTTTGCATGGTTTACTCTGTCAAAAGCCTTCTCCTGGTCTATAAAGACGATGTTGGGTTCTTTGTTGTGTTCGATTGTTTCCTCGCATATCTGTCGTGATGCAAATACAGCATCCGTGCATCCTCTTCCCTTTCGGAATCCAAACTGAGCTTTACTCAGATTTCTCTCTACAACAGGTCTTATGCGCTGCTCTAGTATCTTTGCGTATTATTTTCCCTGAGTGGCTTAACAAGGAGATGCCTATGTATGTTGTGCAGTCGCGTTTGTTGCCTTTTTTCCATAATGGTACCACTATGGCTTTCTGACAGTCTTCTGGGCATTTTCTTTGTTCCCAGGATCTGTTGAAAATCCCCCTCAGCCACAGTATAACGGTGTTTCCCCAAGCTCTTATGGCTTCCGCTGTGATGTCATCTGGGCCTTGTTCTTGGGGCTGGTCTTGAGTGCCTTTTCTATTTCACTGGGAAGTATTGGTGGTTCTGTTTGATCTCCATATGATGGTTGGAACTCGTCTTGTTGTCCGTGGCAAGCGTCTGGGTTGAGCAGTTGTTGGATGTAATTTTCCCATCTTTTCTTAACGGCATGTTTGTCGAGAATGGCATTTCCTCTTTATCGTTTATAAATCATGTCAGGTTGTATGGGTCTTTCCTTACCCGCATGCTCTTCACACTTTTATAAAATTCTCTTGGGTTTTCCTTGCAGATTTCCGTCAGTTTCTCGCCATATATTTTACATGCATTTTCTTTAGCAGTTTTGATGATTCTTTTGGTCTCTCTTCTCGCTTTACTGTATTCTATATAGTCTTCTTCGGTCTTTGACGTCTGCCATTTCTTGAATTTCTTCTTTTTTTCATTCTAATTGTTTCTATGGTTTCATCATTCCATCAGCATGTTGTTCTGCCTTTGTTTCCACGAAGATAAAATTTTAGTGTTTACATGTCTGTTTGTCTGTCTGTCTGTCTCGTTTTCTCAGTCTTTGTCTCTATCTCGTCCTCTCTCTCTGTTCCTCCCCCTTCTATCTCTCTCTCTCTCTCTCTCTCTCTCTCTCTCTCTCTCTCTTTCTCTTTCGTCCCCCCCTCTCTCTCTACCTCTTTCGTTCCCTCCCTCCCTCTCTCTTTCTCCTCTCTGCATGCTTCATGTGTGAGTCTGTGTCACTATTAGCTTGTTTATAAATGTTGTTTTTTAAATCTTTGTCTTTTGAAGTGGCAAAGTTTCATATTATCCTACTTCGCACTTCTGAAGGGATTTTAAAGGCCAAACATTTGGTTATCTACCAGATAGCTGTATTTAGAAGAAAACATCATAGAAAGGATGAGAAAATTTCGACCCTGCACACACTCAAAACCCGGCCTCGGCGTATCAATAAATTTCCTAAAGAAACTGGGCAACAGTTGCTGGCCATGTTTGTCCCCCCCCCCCCCGCTTCTACATACACACTCTTTCTGTTTTCTTTTATTACTTTTACTTGATAAAACCTAGGTGTGTATGTCTTCGGCACAGTGGTATACTATAACCTCTAGTAGCTTCTCATATGGTTCACTCATTGAGGACCCTCTGTTTTGGGGTACAAAAAAGACGTATAACTTCCTTATTCATACGGAATTATAAATTCTGTTTTCTCCTTCTAAAGCGTAAAAGATGCAGGCAATAACATGGATACTGTGAAGTATGCAAATTCCTGCTTCTGATTTGTGTATGATGGTTGGAAATGTGCTGTAACATTGGCCTTGGTCTGCTGCTGATTGGACATATTATGTGTCCTACAAAACCACACAACGATTTGGATTTAATCTACAGAATAGTTAAAAACACAAACAATAAGCCTGTCTACCATTAATTTAAGATTTAAGTCAGAGTCAACACGAAGAGACAATTTGAGCATTGTAACACAAATGTCCAAAACAAAAGACATAACTTTTCAGACTTCAGAATTTACAAACTTTGAAATCCAAAGCAGTTTGATACCACGCAAGCACTGGCAATCTAATTTGACCACCTTTATTCTCACCCCAGGTGAGAACAGCTCCCACCCCGGTGTGGGCATGAGGCGAGGACAGGCCGATAAAATCACCTAGGCCCTTGGTTGCTTACCACATGTGGTTGGGAACAAATAATAATAATGTAAAAACATTTTTCGCCTCTCTAGTAATAAAAAGGCTCACTACAGACACTGAGCGGGATGTGGGACCGGCCGCCGGCCGGATCATTCATTGTTTAAACACTTAAAGATGCTGCACACAATACATTATAGTTCAAGGAACAGAGAGCGTGTACGAACGTAATGAGACACGAGCACGAGACCATGCTCTTGCACGACGGTTGAAGGGTTGTAAATTATTCAGACCAAATGGACTAGGGCGTTAAATCGTGTTAACTAATATAATAATTTTAAACAATCTAAACTCTTTTCTTCACTTTCATTTTTTTGCTGTCATTCTTTCTTTTTATTATTTTTTTCTTCCCTCTTCTGTCCCTTTCTTCTTCAACATTTGGAGTTTGGAGAAAAAAAAAGAGCCAAAGAGCCAAATGAAATTCTCGGTGCCAGACGCAATCCAAAAGAGCCAAATTTCTGGGATTTGGCTCCAATTTGACAACCCCGACTGTGACTAGATCTACATGAAGATGCATGTCTATTCGGACACCAACACGATCCTGTGGAGCATTAGCCCCGGTAACCTCAGCCCTGAAGGGAGGGGGTGAGAATAGCGAGACATAGGTACCCTCATTTATTCCTCTTACAATCTTAAGAATTTCTCACCTTCGAATTTTCCCATATCTGTTACATCAAAAGCTGTGAATTTGACATTTTGCTCCCCAAAACGTTTCTGGAAATCTTCTGAAGTTTCAGCTCCAGCCTTGGGGTCCACATCGCCTAGGAAAATCTGATGAAATAACGCGTGGATCAAAATACAATCGACGGTCTGCTCAGAACTAACTACACAATATGCATAGATGTACCATGTCAGAGCAACAACGGGTGTAAACGAAGGCCAGTTCCTCTTTTTCTCTCCGTCACATCAGAGGAATCATAATAAGCTTGAAGCCATCATCTTCTATTGCTACAAAAATAGCTGCAAACAGATTGCAAAAAAAAAGGTAAAAAAATCTAAAGAACATTTAACCAACGGGCAACCACTAACAAACCCCACACCAGCTAAAACATTATTCTAATACTTTCTATCTAAAAAGTAATAACGTTGTCAATACATTTTATTTCAAAGCAATGACCAACAACTGCAAACAGACAGGAAAACAAAACGAAAAGAAAAACAATCGCAGACAATGGCTCACCTTCGCTCCTTTGGCCAGCAATGCCTCAGCATACGCTTTGCCTAACCCCTGGGCCCCTCCAGTGATCAAGAAAACCTTTCCGGACACATCCATTTTAAATCAACTCGATACAGCACCAGACCAAGTTAAAAAGTAAAAAGCCACAGTGTAAGAAACAGATACCGTTTTATACTTTTTATACGTAACTACTTAAAAGTGCAAACCCCTCCCCCCCC